AATAGTACAAAATTCCTGCATGATTTTCCCATGTTGTAAACGTTAGTGGTACACCACCACTCTTTCCTTAGACAATCTCATTAGTGTCTTTTTCCTGTTCTGAAGGAAAAACGGCCTGTTGTACCAAATGCTTGCTCTCCTTGTTTTCAAGAACTTGAATTTTGTCTCAGTAGGGAGTACTTTAATCTTCCATGCACATGTGCAAGCTCTCACATATCAAAATACATTTTTTCTTGCAACAGAAGTTAGATATTAAATAAGCAACTGTTCTAAGCAGCAAACGATAAAAGCCTGCTTAAGGGTTTGGAAATATTGAAATCCTGGTGCTCCCTCTTGTGGTTTAAGTAGAAGACGACAAACCCGTGAAACGGGCTAAGTGTCGGTATATTGGCTCCTGCAGCAGGAGCTCAGCTGGAGATTATGACACGTTAAGAGGAGAAGCTATTCTTACTTTGAGATATCTTCATTTTCACCTGCTTAGAATGATCAGAAAGTGCCAGACCCCTGTGTTGCCTGGTGACGGAGAAGCCACCCTCTCCTGTGATGCTTGCAGAGCCTGGCTGGCAGAATGAGGTTCAAAACCGAGTATGTTGTATTGGTCTTCTTGTTCTCCTCTGGCTCACACACAGCCATCATCTACCTGAAAGTATTACACATCCACTTGCAAGGATTAAAAATGTATCAAGGAAACTTAATAAGTATTTAATGCATTGTTTTTCTGGGTGGATATTAGTTTTAATAGTATTAGTTTGATTAGTAATCTGTTGCTGGAAATGCTTGTGACTCACCAAGAGTCTGTTTCTCAAAGAAAGGATACACTTGTGTATTCCTAGAAAATAAATATAATTAACCACATTTTTTGGTAACATGTATTTTCAGCTAGTCCATCCCAGCCATCTCAATGTAGCTTTGTTTTAGCGTTATTAGACTTCAGCTGTCCTTTTGCTTATGAGTGTTTGAGGGGATTTTACTGTAAGGGATAGTGGCAAATTTGTGATCTGCTAGCTAGAACTGAAAGTCACCAGACTAATAACTAAAACATGCATTGAATAAAAGCAGTTTTAAATGCCTGCATGGACTACAGCCACACTGATGGCTTATAAGTCTCAGAGACTGTGTCCATCTAGTTACAACTTGACACATACCTCATTTACAATACTGAATATATATGTATCAAAAAATTACAGTGCTTGGTAAACTTACCAAAACAAGCATAAAGAAGGACAATTTTCAGACTACTGGTTCTGGTTCCCAGGTAGTGCTGAGTCTAAGCCCAAGAGGTTTTGTACCCGGAGAAGTGTTTTCTCTCCTGTTACTCTATGCACAGCAGTAAGAACTAGTGAAACAAACTACAGACACACTGCAAGACTAGAAGATGCTCGACTTCTCAGTGTATTTCACAACAGCCTATGACTCGAAGTAGAGCAGAAAGGCTCAGGTTTCCTGAGACTTATTTCTGGTAGCACTTAAAGATAGGGCATAGCTAATCACTGTATATCTAGTTTGAAGTATGCCACAGGACTGTGCATTCTGTTTGCTTCAGTCATTTGATGTAAGATGATTTCTGTAGAAATTCTGAGGTCAGAAAGAACCATTTGTATAGTGGAAAGAAACCCCAAAGAATGTGGTTCATTTCTCCTATTGAGCATGTGAACTTAGATGACAGTATCCTACCATTATTGATATGATGGACACATCATTGTCCAGTCCTGTGTAAAGTTTTATGATGCTTCAGTTTTCCAAACTGTAAGTAACTAGAAGTAGACATTCCATGGAATTGCACCAAGCAAAATCAAACTGCCATAAAGTTCATGTGTGGCACTAATTGCAATTTAACTGCATGGTTATTACAAGAGCTTTTAATTAACCCAGTCATCATGCTGTGGCATACAAATTGTGCATAATAACAGCGTGCTGAGTGTAATGACAATAGGTTTGTCTGAACTGTGAAAATCAGGAGTTTTATCATTTTCTGAGGTTTCTTTTTATGCCCTTAAATATTGTGCAGTATTTAAGAACATTTGACCAAAAGAAAAAAGAAACAAACAAACAAACAAAAAAACCCAGAAAAAAACGTAGTAAGTTGCTAAGGCTTGCCTGTTTGAAAATTTTATAGCAGTCTTTAATACTTCCTGAAATGCAGTGAGGTGTGTGATTATCTCCTGAATAGTATTTTTGGTGATTTTTTCAGTCTCACTTTTCTTACAGTATTTTCGGTCCCTTTCAATAGTCATTTTATACACTCTTCTAGGATTTTGTGTTTGAAGCCAAGAAAATTTCTCAGTGTGTGGAAACATTCAGTGGGAATACCCTTTCAGTGAAACTGGAAGATAGAAAGAATAAATTCTGATTAGATACTGCTGCAGAATGGTCATTTGTTAGCTCACTAGTGTAGTGAGAGCATTCCCATTCTCTCAAAATGATGATTCCAGTCTATGTCTGTCAAGACTGGTGGTAATAGCACTGAATAACTTTTTACTTGGAAGGTTAATTTTACAGCCCGAAGACTAAAAATGAAGAAACAATGTAACTAATGGATATAGTTGAGTCCTTCAGAAAACACTGGAAATACGCGTTATACCATGTACTCATTCCTGGAGATCGAGAAAATGCATTAAAAAAAAAAAAAAGCAGACATTATTGTGGAAAGTGTATTTTTCTATTGTTTTGGACTGTCATCAGCCTTGTACTGGGAAATGAGATGCTGACATTCTGGTTTTAAATTATTTGGCTCACAGACAGAACAGGCACCTGAAGGCAAGATAAGAGTATATGACCTTTTCATGTGCACAAGTTTACTGAAGAAACCAGGTGACAATGAAGACTGGGCCAGTGAGGGAGGCAAAAGTACATTTGGCATGTGCATACAGTTAATTGTTTAAACATGACATAAAAGTGACAGCCACTAGTGAACAGTAAAAAAAAAAAAGACAGATTATATTCAGCTAGGTGAGGGATACAAGTGTGGTGTACCAAACACAAAAAGAACTGACACCACACAAAGCCAGTCGGTCAGTCAGTGGTCCCAGGGGGTTAAATATCAGAGATGTGAGAAAGGTAACAGAGACGAAAACATCATCATTATACATGCAGAAACTATGTCTGAAAAAGTAAGTGACTTTGCGAGAGATTGGTGAGGTAATTTTCAGCTGTGAGAGCTGTTGCTATCATTGATAGAACGGAGTTCTCGGCAGTGATTACTGTCATGCATTTTTTGTGGGAACAGCAGAGGTGTGTGTGCTGCTGTACAACACTTTTTATCATTTAACTCACACTCTTTTCAGAATTTTCCAAAAATGGCTTTTGGAAAAAACCCACGGTTCTTAAAAAGATGTTTCAGATAATGACTTGATTTTGAAGGTATTTATATATATGAAGTTTACCCAAGGTTAACATTTTAAGAAATATTTCACATTTGAAACTAAGGTTTCTTTTAAAATGTATCAGTATTGTGCTATACATTTCTTGAGACATTCACTCAAAGAGAATAAAGAGAGAGAAATGTCATTAGACAGTATTTTGGAGCAACTGTATAATACATACAAAACAAGTATTATCCATATTCCAAGCTACTATGATTGTAAAAATTATTGATTTTCTTTATTTGTTCATTTTAGTCACTTTTAATTCACAAGATGAAAGCTTATTAATATGTTGTAATAATGCTGATTCTTTCTTCTTTTGGCTAGCCTAAGCAAGTACATTAAGTACATTCGATGAGTCTTTCATTATCACCACTCACACCATGCATAAAAACAAAGAACCTCATCAAAATTAGATATATTCATTTTATTTAAAATTTTAAATATCTTTCTTAACTAACACTACAGCAGTTCTTAGTTGAAAATGTCCCCAAGACTTGCACTTTTCTCTTTAATATATGTGATGGTAACTTGAAAAATGAGATTTACTTGCTTTCTCTGTTCTTACATTTGGGGATATAAAATGCAACAGGAAACAGTAATCCTTGTTGTATAACATGTGCACCCTTTCCTCTTTCTCATGGTGCATTTTGAATATGTTTCTCCTTCAAAAACTGGATCCCTGTCTTAGAGCCAACAGTGATCTCCTCTCTTCCTTCTTCTTTTTAAAAGCTGATTACCTGTTGAAACCAAGTTTTCATAAATCACATACAATATTAGTTTTCCAGTGGTGCATGTGTGCTAGCTTACACAAAATATGTGCTGTTCAGTCTGCTTAATATCTTGTCTGATGTGATCCCCAGCATGAAGTATCTCTTGTTTAATAAATATGTATGTCCTTAATTATTTTTATTCAGTGACTAGGAAGAATAATGAGCTATGAACATGAATTGATATCCTCTATCATTCAGGAAGAAATTGGGAGTTCACGTGAATTTGTATCTACTGACATCTAGATTAGAAAGCCAGACATATAAAATCCCTTGATATTTTCAACATCTATGGTCTGAATCGTTAAACTTACATCTTGGATCATTAAATTTACATCTTGCAAAGTTGTAATGCAAGTTTCCACCATGCTAACTGTTCACTATATGCTCTGGGTAACTGTGCTGAACATGCCATAATAATTCATCAACCCTGAAAGAAATCACAAAGTTCAATGAGTATTAAAAATGTGATTGGGGTATGTTACAGAAAAAATGGAAATATGCTTCTGTTCACCATGCATCGTGTTCTCTGAGGTTACTGTTACTGTCTGCATAACAATACACTTTCCTTACAGAAAGAACAAAGCCAGAGTAAATAAAATACATATGGTGACTTGTTTATACACCTGGTATTCTTTCAATGGAGTGATTTTGTTTGAGATTTTTTTTCTACTATAAAATGACTAATTATGTATTTACAGCATTCATTATGGATACAGTGTTGAGACCTATGATAGTTAATGATACTTTTCTTATCTTAATGTCCACAGAACGTTCTTGTTAAAGTGAACTAAAACTGAATTGAGAGATACTTAATAATTTTTGTTTACATGTGTTCTTTCTTTCTTGTGACCTTTTTTCCTTTTAGGTGAACAAGGTCTGTGGTCCTCCTGTAAGGAAGCTCACGCAGTCTCCAGGTTGCCCCTTTGATCAGAGCAAAGATAATCAAGGGTTGAAGATGTTCTCAAGAGACAGTGAAGAAACCCTCACCAACAGAAGAAAGTAAGACATTAGTTTTACAGCCAGAAAGAAAGAATAAAGTAAGCCATTAATTTTACAACAGAATAGATTATATTCAATGCAAAGGCATATGCATTACTAGAGAATAAAGACTGCAAAGAATGAAGCATTTGAGCAACACAATCTGCTCTGTTGCCTTTTGGGAAGAGTAATTTTATGACTAGATTTTGTTTTCTGAAATATTGGACATATGACCAGATTCATTTGGTGTGGTTTAAAGTATTTAAAAGAGTAAATAACAATGGTAGAATATGAACGGTATCTCTCTCTTTATGTGTAAATTTTCAAATTACATTTAACTTGCATATCAGCAGGCATTATTAAATCTGTGAAAAAATGATTGTGACTTTTATCAGAAGACTTTGTACAAACTGAACAGACAGAAAAAAAAAGAGTGATTGTTCTTACATACCTTTCTACTCTAAAAAAATGAGATGACTAAGCATTTGGGGCTAAATCTTGAAATCCTCGTTCAAGCAAGTCCACCTGATTTTTTTTATTTTTTTTTTTCTCTGGGTCTTTTGCCAGTGTGTAGGGAATTTAGATGACTGCAAAGACTCAGAGATTTGATTTATACCTGGCTCAGCATTACAGGGTAAAATTTACCTAACTGCATATGAGGTAGGTGTTTAAGCTGCCATTATAGTCTGTGGAGAGGAGGACTCAGTTTAGCTGACCACACAACTAGAAGGCATCCAGTGCCACTTGAGAATACCCTCAGATACCCCAACTGATCTGCTGCTGCCAAGAAGGATGCAGGTGTCCTGCAAATTGTATCGTATATTTCAGCCTTCTGCAGATATCCTGAATAGTTGAGGATATCTCAAAGGCCAATCTATCTTTAGCCAAATAATCAAGTCTTTATGACCATAAGGAGTAACAGCACTGAAAGGAGTAAGGATAGTATTGCAGTTGAGAATCAAGGCCCTATTATGCAAATAAAGTACAAAGTTAAAATCAGAAATTTCATTTCTATCACAGTGTTTTCTAAAATACAGAGAGGGTTCCTTTGTCCTCTTTTTTCCTTTCATTTCATTTTGCAGTGCAGAAGGAAACTGAAGTGTGAGAATTGCAGGGAGTAAGTGCTCACTCCTGATGTCTGCAGAAGATTTGCCTCTGAGCTTCAAAGTCAGACTATTCTTGTTAGCATAAGGTCCTTCATGTTCCAAATAGTGGAGGAAAAAACAAACCAACAAAAACCAAACAGAGGTTTTAGAGAACATTGTGGGAATGGAAAGAGATACAAAACAGAAATTTGCTTTAGCCAGCACGGAAGTTCATCAGACAATACCCATTATACAGGCACATTTTCTCTGTCTTATGTATAGTAGCTAAGCAAGTTCTTGATGTTTTGTGATTCCTAGCACTCAGCAAACATGAAACCATATTCTAAAATCTCACTTAACCCAGGACTGTTCCATGTTTCAGAATAAGTGTGTCTGCGCCAACCTCAGGGAGATTGCCCAAAAGACTTTAAGGGGCAGGAGAGGCAGTGAGCAGCACAAGCAGTGCTGTTTTCCCATGATTTCCGCCTGCCTGAGATGCTGGAAACACTTGATGACATGCAACAGGCGCCACACCAGAAAGGGGAGAAAGTTTGAGATCCACTGACACAGATTTCAGTTTAACAACTTCATAGTTGATATCATCTTCATTTGCTGCCTCCTGGATCACCTTCCTTATTAGTCACAATTGCTTTATATTTCACTTTATATTCCCATGGCAACTGTAGCAATTCCTCACATGGAAGAGGGACTTCAGCAAATGCTTGCAGCCTGCTTTTAAGGAAGTGCTGTTGTCTGAGTCTCACTCCACTTTATTTACCTCCCAATGTACTTCTAGCAGCAGGTTGCTCTCAGCAACGTTCAACGAGCTTTAGCAGAAAAGAATAGGCTTCTTCCAAACTGTGTAGACTTGATCGATGACAGTTATTTGAGGGAAAACAAATGAACAAAAGATTCCATTAAATGTGTGACTCCTAAGTGTTCCCTGATTTCTAAATATTTTTCAAATGCATCTCCAGATGAAAGTTTCCATTCTAAAGTACATGGTGGACTGCCTCTGTCTGAACTTTTCCTAATTTAATTTTACCATCAGACCTAAGCTGGTATTTTCTAGTACTGTGTGGTACAAGAAGAAAAGGAAATTTTCTCTGTCCTTTTGACACCAAACATTGTCAGATGAATTTAAAAAAAATTCCAGGCAGAACCTTCTGTAGTAACATACAAACTTGAAAGTATATAATGCTTTTTCCTCCAGAACTGAACATTGCATACAGTTTTTAGCATGGAGAACAAAATTGTAAAAGAAAAAATGAACATTTCCAAATAAACAAATAAGAAGTATCTGCAGCTTCCACTGACTGCAACTGCATATTTGTGCTCAGCTGCCTGTAATTACATGCTATCTGGTCTAGAGGATGATGATATGAATTTTACATTCATACCATCTGCCCTTCTAACTACTTTGGTCAGACATCAACAGGGGCTGAAATTACTCGTTACTTCTGTATTAACTTTAGCTTTGCCTCAGGATGTATTTACTAATAAACTAAATGACCCTTCTGCCAGAATGCAGTTTGTCACAAGATACTATGACAGATTTATTTATTTCAATTTCTGCGTTATACATGGATTGATTGTGCAGAAGAAGAAATTCCAACTGTCTAATATGAGAGGACTCTCTAAACACTCATTTTCATCCAAAATATAAACCCAAAGCATAGAAAAAAATCAAAATCCTTCGCACTCAATGGGAAATGGAGGAAAATTGCAAACGTACTGTGTACTCAGGATGCAATTTGGGGGATAGAGAAATACAAGATATGACTATTCATAACTGGGAGATGAGTCATATTTACATATTAAAATAGATTGTGCATAGGCAATTACATGATGCATAGTTAAAATCGTCCATACCTGAGATTTTCAGAAATGCAGTTTTAGACTTAATAGGGCACTCATATCACATTTAATAGGCATAGCAAAACAAAATCATTGTGGTTTGTGGAAAATATTTGTCCTACAATTACAAGAAAGAACATGTGGCTTTTTAAATGACAGACTGTATACAGTCACTCATGCTTTATCTGTTTTAATTTGGAGTAAACAAGACTTAAAAATTTAATTCCTTATGCCATTTTAGGCTTACATTGACTAAATACAAGGAAATGTATAGAATATATCTGGCATTTTTTCACAACTCCAGACAGTGTACAAGAAGTTAACATGAGGTAAAGTTTGCTGGCTTACAGAGCAATGAGTACAGCATTTGCTGGTGTCTTTGTGCCTGCAGGTGATAGATAACTCAGTATAGTGTGATGTTCTAAACCAGAATGAATAAATATTTTAATTTTTCACTGCAGGAATGCATCTCCCAGGAAGAGGTTTTCAATATATAAATGAACAATTTATAAACATAAATATCACAATCCAGTTTTAAAAACATACTAAGAAATCATTAATTTGTTTAAGTACAAAACCTTATCATTAGCTCTGGGCTTCTTGACATTTATTTAAAATAGCAATACATAATTTAATACCTACCAGCATAGCACATGATAAAACTGATATAATTTTTCCAGACGTTTATTTAAATATCCACTAAATATTTAACACCTACATCTTAAAACAATCTTACCTAAATCTTGAGTTGCTCTATAACTCTGACAAATACTCTTTGTAGTATTTTTAACACTGTGTAGGGGACTAATTGATAGCACTTACGAAAAACAGATGACTTACTCATATACACCTGTTTTTTTATTTGCTCTGCTTTTTTGGAGGAACATTTTGTGGTATATTTGTAGAAGTGTAGCATTGAAAAGTGCTGCAAATATGCAAGAAAATGTCAGGTGGGAGGAAAATAATTCCTGCTTCAGAGCATGAGAAAAGGTTTGGATTTTTTCTTTTAGTTTGACCAATGAGAGTGTCAGCCATGCAAACTACTGAAGAGTATTTGAGAGAAACAAACATATCTAACAGGAAATTGACAAATTGATTTAAAAAATCATTGGAACCAATGGAGAGTAATAAAATAAGCACATTCTTTATCTTCTTGTAAAAATGCACAACAGCAGTACTGCTTAATGTTATTGATTGATACTGTCAATTATTTCTCATCTTCCCCTGTGCAGAGAATTTATCAGCCACCTCCGGCTCTACAGAGCCTTTTATGGTGGCTTGGCTGATCAGCTGTGTGGTAATGAGTTGGCAGCTGCTGATGGACTCCCCTGTTGGAATGGAGAAGATGTTGTAAGAAGGTACTTTTCTGGTTCACTTTTGTCTTTTCTTTTGTCTTTTGTATTTCTCTGAGGTAGCTTCCAACTTGAGTCAAGTACACTGTTTCCCTAGGTGTGTGTCAAGTTTAATTCAAAAAACAAATCATCATGGGTTTCCTTCTCTCAGGCCTCACCTGTAAACAGTAAAAAAACCTGGCAGCATCTCTGTTTTGAGGAAAAAAAAAAAAGAAAAAAAAGAATTCTATTGTTCTTCAGACATTTTTCCTTCAAATTTATGGCACCTAGATATATGTTGGAAAGAAGCTGGATTGACATTTACAAAATACAGTTGGAGAAAAAGAATATGGATCTTTGTTTGAACTAGATCTTTATAAAATGCTCCTTTTAACACAGGGTGTGCGATAGCAGACTCAAGCTATTATTGGCTTAAAACTTTCTCTGGCTCTGAAGAATGAAGTAATCTCTTAATATCAATGGTTTCTCAGGAGAGAGCTAAAATTTAAACCATGGAGATAAAACATTTTAAAGGTGAAACACATGTATTGTTTTATGTATGCAGCGGCTTGGGAGACATCATTCAGCAGCAAAGGCAAAGAAGAGATAATAATAAACTGCTATGCTCCTGGATGTGTATGTCTGGAATCAATATATTTCACAGCTTACAAAACATGAGTATTTGTGGATGTCAGAAGGATTTTCAGAGAGCTGAACTCTCTGGTTTTGTTTTATTGCTCTCATGACCAAAATAAGTATTTCTCTGAGCAGGAAGTCCTTGTGATGGTAGAGACCAAAATGTGAAAAGGTTCATTGCAATTAATTTTTTATAAAGATCATGCTGTTAATACATCATTTATTACTGTGTAGTATCACAAGTGTGAGGTGAGTTATTAAAGTGGGAGATAGCTGGTAACAAGTAGAAGGAACAGTGATAGCCTTTGCCTTCAGGTATATCTAAAAAGGGTTAGGTAGGAGCTGTAATTTATTGATAAATAATACCTAAGGAAACTTAATGGATACCCTTTCAGCAAACAGCTACAAGCCTACTTTTCTTTATCTTCTTGGGTAGTCCAGTGCTTAGGCAACACCAAGGCCCAATAAGTGGTTGACTCCCTTGATAGTCTCATTGGGAACTTTTGTCCTAAGTTTTCAGTGATCTTCTCAAGATGACCTTTTCCTTCTTTAGATATCTATGTTTGAGATTTAATCTCAGCTTTACTTCCTGGATTTTGTTTTGTTGCCCTTCCCCACATGAGTTATACTGTTCCTACCAAATATTTCAGTAACAATTTGAAGTAAGTATCCTGTAATTCCCGATTTCATTACGTTTGGCTGCTTATACTATTACTATATTATATAATTTCAAACCTATATTATATATTACTGTTATATTGTAGTTCTTATTATACTATTACTGTTTATAGTATAATACTATACTGTTTGATTTTGATTGATTAGATCGATTGATTAAAGTCCTTGTACAGAAATGAAACATTCTACTGAACTCTAGACCATAGTGTTTTTTAAAAGTAGTTTAATTAGAGTACAAATATTTTATTAATGCAATTTTTTTATTTGTGGATCAACCTAATAATTGGTGACAAAAGCACTGCATCTTAAAAGTAAGACCACTTTGATATTAGTTTAGCTTGCAGATTTCCTTACTAAAATATTTTTTTTCATATGTATATTAATATATATAATTATATTTTTAGTCAGTAAATATTAGTGTTAACTTCCTAAAAGAGCTGACATGTAGATAATATTTAGAAGTACAGTACTAATTAAAACCAAAAGAGCGGGATACTCTGAGGTGCTCTAAACTATCAACTGGACCTGAGACCTGCAGATTAATTCCTACATCTCAATACCTGTACTTGTACACTAAATATATTGTGGTACATACTCTTCTGCTTCAGTAGATATATGAAGGTGCTCACATCTGTCCTCTTCCTCCCCCTCATTTTGCCTTGTTACTCTGTCAAAATGTCCTTTGTTCAATTTTGTTTCTATTTGTTCTTTTGTAACAGAAGGTGAAAAAATATTTCTTGCTCTTTGACGGAGATCAGGTTTCTTTTACTAATATTATTATAACAGAATTGTTAATCTAGGGAAAAATGGACACTCTTGTTTTTGTGCTTAGGCACATCTGTGTGTCTGCTATGAAAGTAAGGCACGTGTGACAGAAGCATGCGAGAGAGGAACACGTACATTTGGCATGCAGTGCCTGGAGATTTCTCTTTGTTATGGAAAGTCAAATTCAGCCTCAGAAACACAGTCAAAAAAATACTGCAAATTTAGAAACAAGGAGACTGTATTTGAACAAGACAGACTCCTGATCTACACCACAGATTGAGCTGGGAAATGCCATTTGAAATGGATCAATGAATCAATCAACTAGCAAAGAGATCTAATGGGAGATGAGTGGCATCAGAAGTCATTGCGTTGGGGATATTCTGAAGGGAAATTAAGATGCCAGGCTTTGGGAATGTGGACTGGAGGCAGTGAGACTAACCTCTGTGCAGACAAACCGGATCAGAAGGACTAGTAACGTGTGAAAACCAGGGTAAGCAATTAAAAATGCTTACATTAAAAAACTCAGCTTGAGCCCAATTTTAGTATTTTCAGGAAAACTGTGGCATATTCTCAAAAGTATTATGAGATCAGTCAAGAATCTAGGAAACTCAACTTGCAAAAAAAAAAAAAAAAAAGAAAAAAATTACATTTGTTTAACCTGAAAAAGAAAAACTGTTAGGAGAAAAAACAAAGTACACACAGGCTGTTCCTAGGGGGAAGAAAAGTATCTGTTACCTGCTTCCATAATGACTAGGACACATAGCAAACATTTAAAATATATTCTGATTAAATGTTAGGGAGAATTTTCTAGTGGCAAGGACAATAAGGGACAAAAAGAGGTAGTTTTGGGATCCAGTGTCTGCCTGAAGGAGCATATTTAAGAACAGGCAAGGCAAGGCACTGAGAAATCTTGCAGCAAAAGCCTTAGACATATGGAGATAAATTGGATAACCTCTTAAAATCTCTTCCAGCCCTCTGATTCTGAATCTAGGTTTATCTAAATCCTGTGTTGCTCAACTTCTGTTGCCATGATCCCAGGATACTGTGACATTTTAGAAGCAATAATGACCTGAGCAGGCATCATTGCTTTTCTCTGTAAATACTGGAGAACATCTGAACCTGTACGCTCACTCTCTTTCCTTCTTTTTTCTTCCCCACGCCACCACTAGTATAGTAATAAATAAAGATATTGGTGAATTCATCAGTATTCCTGGCACAGATGGGGGAAGGTCTGTGTTGTTCAGATTATTTAAAGATAAATAGATTTTATGTGTTTTGAGATTCTTTATAATTTCTGTCTGATTTTGCCTTTTATTTAAAAATTATATGCCATAGCTCGTGGTGACTGCAATTTTGGGACTGACATGGGAAAGCAATATCATAAACAACATAACGCTGCTGTGAGTGTATCAAGACCTGAAGAGATTGCTATGACTGTTTGCTGTATCTGTGTTTCAAGTTGCAAGTAGCAATAAGCCCTGGAGACAGAAGATAGATATGTTTTTTAAAAAAAATTTTGTGGTTCTTTTCTCCTTTTCTGTGCATTTTTCTGAAGGAAGTAGTTCAAGGCTTTAACAGCTCTAATATCATATCTTGGATAAATCTTACAGCCTTTGCCATCTCTAATACTACCTAAGAGATTATCAAGCCTGGATGAGAAAAGGTCAGAAGAAAAAAAAAAAAAAAAAAA